AATGTTCATCTTGGTGGAACAAGCTGATGAGGCTGCAGACATGTTTTTCATGCACCATTAGCAACACGAAAGGAAAAGATGGTGGGAAGAAAGTAGAGTTCTAGTCCTTTAAAATTCGGAGTGATAAGGAACATGTCTCCCATCTATCAGTGAAGAAACCGAATGCTCATTTTCTGCTCTACATCCACCTTCTCCAAAACCTGCAATAAAACCCAGACACAGCTGCTTAGGTCACATGTGCATAGCTCTGTTTCAATTAAAATGTCAAATGATATTACAAAGCAAGCAAGAATATGGGGCACCACCAGTTTGGCAGGCCATTCTTTCATCTTGAAGCTGTTAATACTGCGCCCCAGAAGCAAAGTTTTCCTTTTAAACATGAAGAATGCTGCCATGTGAACCAAGTGTAATTAATATGGTAATGTCAGTCTCCACACAGCCCAAAACAGCTAAGAGAAGTGTGGACTGTCATTTGTTAGGAGGTTGCTCACCCTTAACTCACATAACATGTATTAACACTAAGGGTGTGTCTAGACTGCTGCAGTGTTATTTTGAAATTAAATCGAAAGAACGTGGCAGTTTTTTCCAGCCACAGTAAACCTCATTTTATAAGGAAGAATGCCTTTTTTCAAAAGTGCTCTTTCAAAAATAGGTGTTCTTGAATGCAAACAGGGCTTTTTTGAAAGAGCATCCTGACTACCTGGGTGCTCTTTCGAAAAAGAGGCTCTCTTTTTCAAAAGAAGTGGTTGCAGTCTAGACGCTCTTTCGAAAGAGGTTTGTAGTCTAGACGTAGCCTTAGAGCAGAACCTGAGTTACAAACACCAGAATTACAAATTGACTGTCATCCACAGTGTATTAAGTCAATGTTCAGCTGTAAGTTTTTGAAATAAGAGCCATAATGTATTCACCATTACCAACAACTGCCATTACTAAGGTGCAAGTAACTGAGGTTCTACAGTATTTCACTACTGGACACGGTTTAAGGGCTTGTCTACATCAGGAATTTGACTGTCAGATACAGAAAAATAATGATTCTGCTAGTATAATTCTCCTGTGTGACTATTTAAGACTATGGAGTAAATATTCTGCTATAACAATGCCAATTTCCCCATGAAAGCAAGCTTCAAGGAAGGAAATATTTTCTGATCTGTGACTGGAAACATTCTGGGAACTAGTGGATGTTGGATTTTTCTCCTAGTTTGACTCTTGGCAAAGGCCATTTCACTCCCCCACAAAGAGGTTTCCCTTGTGGCAGGCATCTTGCCTGCAAATCTACTTGAGTGAAAGTGCAAAACAGTTCTAGCTACATAACCTAAGAAAAAGTTAGCCTATGTGGCTCTTGTGATGAGTGGTTATGCACTGGCAGCACAGCCCCAAAATTAAACCCTGTCCTTCAAGAGGCTATGATCTTATTCCCTCTGTTAGGGCACAGAGGAAATCAAGACATACTAAGGACTGCTACTCTAAATGTAAAAGTGAAGGCTAGTATTTTTTTGGCTCATTTCCAGCTGTTCATTGACTGCTCAGTGATTAACTTTCAATCACTTCCTCTTATTCAGAAGGTTAATTCCCAACCTTGACAAACTCTGTGAAGGAGATGGCACTGTCTCCATCCTGATCAGCCTCCTGGATTGTCCTGTCAGCAATACTCCCAAGCTGCTCATCTGAAATGTTTACACCAACCATCATTCGTAATACCTGCAAGATACAGAAAGCCCAGAAAGACTGAACGTTACTATAGAAATAACCTTCAAGACAAGAATGGTACAGGAACAGGATCGTTCTGAAAACCTTGTACAGAGTTTATCCACAGTACTTGGAACAAGGATACCATTCAAGTAGCTACCCTATGTAGATAGGGCACAAGATGACCTCTCTCACCATCTAGAAAAAATGGTTACTTACCTTCGTAACTGTTTGAGATGTGTTGCTCATGTCCATTCTGTGTAGCTGTGTGTGCACTGCATGCATGCATGCGTCAAGTTTTTTCCCTTAGCAATACCTGTTGGGCAAGCAGGGAAGCCCCCTGGAGTGGCATCAGTATATCAGCAAATATATACCCCTGCTAGCCCTCCACCTCCTCGATTCCTTCTTACCGGACTACTCCAAAGAAGGGGAGGCAGGCAGAATTTGGAATGGACATGAGCAACACATCTTGAAGAACAGTTATGAAGATAAGTAACTTTTTTCTTCAAGTGTTTGCTCATGTCCATTCCATGTAGGTGACTCCAAAGCAGAAACCCAAGGAGGCAGGGTTGGAGTTCTAACCATCAACTGATCATAGGACAGCCCTCCCCAGGGCTGCATCCTCCCTCGCCTGATGGCCCAACACATTGATTAGCAAAAACATGGACCGAAGACCAAGTGGTAAACCTGCAGATGTCCAGGATAGGGACCTGGGCCACAAATGCTGTAGCGGAGGCCTGGGCCCTAGTGGAGTGGGCCATGAGGGGAGGGGCTGACACCCCAGCCAACCCATAGCACTCCTTGATACTGGATGTAATCCACGAAGAGATCCTCTATAGAGACTGGCTGCCCTTTCAGCCTCACTGCAATTGCTACAAAGAGCTGTGGGGACTTACAAAAAGGCTCTGTTCTTTCCAAATAAAAAGCTGAAGCCCTCCTAACATCTAAAGTGCGTAATGCCTGTTCCTTATCCGAAGCTTGGGGTAAAAAACTGGGAGAAAAATATCTTGAGACGCATGAAAGTCAGACACCACTTTCAGAATGAAGGCAGGTTTGGAGGGGGGGGGCGTAATATGACCTTATCTTTAAAGAAAACCATACAGGGTGTCCAAGGTGAGGGCTCTCAGTTCGGACATGTGCCTGGCTGACGTGATAGTCACCATGACAGACACCTTCCAAGAAAGGTGCAGCAGCGAGCATGTCACCAGCGGCTCGAAGCAAGGCCCCATGAGTTTGGCCAGGACCAGTCTGAGATCCCACTAAGGAACAGGCTGACAGACATGCAGATAAAGTCCGTCCAGCCCTTTCAGAAACCAGTGTACCATGGGATCCACAAAGAGGGTCTTGCCCCAGGAGCCCAAGTGGAAAGCACAGATAGCTTCCAGGTATACCCTGAGAAGGAGGTATATAATCTAAGATCCAGGAAGTAGACCAGGACCAGCAAGATCTGGGCATCCATGGGTGATACCACCTGATGGGCAGCCCACAGAGAAGCACTTTCACTTGGCCAGGTAAGTGATCCTAGTGGAAGATTTCCTACTCCCAAACAAGACCTCTTGCACATGCTCCGAGCACTGCAACTCTGCCGCTGTTAGCCATGGAACTTCCATACCATTAGGTGCAGAAATCACAGGTTTGGATGGCAAACCCTGACGAAGTCCTGCATGATGAGGTTTTGGTCCAACGAGAGGGTGATCGGTCTCTTGTAGGACAGGCTCAGGAGACATGAACCAGTGTTGCCTAGGCCATGCCAGCGTGATGAGGATCAGGGATGACCTCAACTCCTGAATCCGCACAAGCACCATGTGAACCAGCAGGAAAGGTGGGAATGCATAAAGTAAACCCTCAGGCCAGGGAGTAATGACTGTCTCCCAGGGAGCCCCAGCCCAGCCCCATGAGGGAGCAGAACGTTCGGCACTTTCCATACTGCCCAGTGGCAAACAATTCCAGAAGGGGAACCTCCACCTGTGGAAAATTTGGAGAGCCACGTCCCCTCAGAGACCACTCATGGCTGGAAAAGGACCCGCTCAGCCAATCTGCCAGAGTGTTCTGGGACTCCAGGAGATAAAGAGAAAACCAGGTGAATATCCGCCCCAATGCATAGCTTCCAGAGCTGAAGGGCTTCCTGACATAGGGAAGGAGAGTGGGCCCCATCCTGCCTGTTGATATTGTCAGAAGAATAAGGACAGTTTTCTGAGCCAATGGAGAAAGGCCACACAGGAGACAGGAACTGCCCATAGCTCCCTGACATTGATATGCAGGGAGAGGTTGTCCCTTGACCACATACCTTGGGTTTGCATGTTTTCAAGGTGAGCCCCCCAACCTGTGTCAGATGCATCTGTCACTAACCAGAGGGTTGGTAGTGGTCTGGAGAATGGCATTCCGGCACAGACCACTTCCTCCTGGGTCCACCAGTCCAGAGAGCACAGGACATCAGGTGGGACTATCACCACTGTCTCAAGAATGCAGGGATGGGTTGTGAACCCATGCCAGCCACATCTGTTGTGGGTGGGTGGGTGGGTGTGAAGCCTGGTGTGTTGAATGACATAGGTGCATGCGCCTCCTGGGGTTGATGGCTACATGCAAGACCTGGCAGCGGTCATCAAGAATGCCTGCATGCTCTGGCCAGCCACTTTGATCACCAGGAAACAGGATCTGAGAAGGGAAGCTAGTCCTAGTGGGTACCCACAAACTATAACCCAGGTGGCAACCATCATCAATTTGGCCACATTAAGGAGCAGCCCCAGCTCTTGAAAAAGACCCTGCACTAGAGTGAAGTGGGCTAACAATCTGAAAAAGCCTTGAAGGAGCCAGTTGTCCAGGTAAGGGAACATCTGGACACCCTGTTTTTTCAGTGTGGTGGCCACAATAGCCATGTACTTTGTGAATACTTGAGGGGTTGTAGAAAGGCCAAAAGGAAGGGCAATAAACCAATTGTGGTCCTGGCCCACCGTAAAGCAGAGGAACTGCTTGTGGTGTGGAGCAATAGAAATGTGGAAGTAGGTATCTTTTAGATTGAGGGACTCCAGGACTTTGGGAGCAGATGATAGACTCCCAAGTCACCATCTTGAATTTGGCTTTGGTGATGAAGGCATTGAGTTCCCTGAAGTCCAGAATGTGCAGAAAAACTCCCTTGGTATACTGGGAATAGAAATCCCTGCCCAGGAACCCTTTAGCCACCCCTAGGGTTAAGAGCTCCTGGACCTCCTCCTGGAGGAGATGCTCATGAAAGGAGTCCCTAAAGAGGAACGGGCAGAGATTTGGAGGGGAGGAGGATGGGGGGGGGGTGTCAAAGGAAGAGGATAGTGGCTCAAGAAACCACCCCACCTTGTCTTCTTCCACCCAGGCTCCAAACTCAGGCCAAGAGTCCCTAGGGAACAGCTCGGCAAACTTGCCCATATTTACCCAAGTCTTATGTGTAGTGACTCAGCAGAACCTACTGGTTCGCCATGCGAAGTTGAAGACCCCCAGACTCATAGGCCTTTCTGCCCCAGAGGTCCATTTTCTTGGCATCCCTGTTCTTAGGAAGGGTGCCTGGCTGGCCCTGCCTCTCATTCTGGTTCACTGTCTGAACAGCCAAGGACCCCAGAGGTGGATGGGAAAAGACGTGTTTGTTCCCCTCTTACAGCATGAAGTAGCTCCGCTCGACTATCTGTTGGAGGGATAGAGGCCGGGGTCTACCAGAGCGTCACTGGTTTTGGTCAGTCTTAATAGGCAAGGCCATTCTGGTAGAAGTGCAAGCCTGCAGGAGGTTGACCGTAGGGTCCGAATCATCTGACACCCTCTCCACCTGGACTTCCAAACTCTGAGCCAGGTAGCAAGGTAGTTCCTGATGGGACCTGGAATCCATGGATGGCACGGAAAGGGAGAGAGCCACCAAGCACCTCATCCAGTGAGGAGGACAAGGACCCTTGTATGTCCACCCCCTCCAGATTGTGAGTTTGCAAGGGGGCCTGTGAGGCCACAGAAGCAGGTTGGGTGGTGAAGGGCCCCCTCCCAGGTGATGTTCTGGAGAAGCCTGGCCTGGGGGAAGGGGGGGGGGTGGTGGGGGGGGGGGGGGGGGAGATGCCCTCGGCCCAAGACGACCGATTCTAGCCTTCACACTGGCTTTGGTGGTAGGCCCAGGGGGTTCAAAAAGGTTACTGAGCTAGGGCCTGCACTTGAAGTGGCCAGGGCTGCTGGCACCTGGGCTGGCTGAGGCCATTGCTGCTGCATTGAGGTGCTGTGGTGCTACAAATGATGGCTGGAGTAGGACCAATGCTTGGATTGAGACCTGGACCCCAGGGATGACCAAACCAATTCCGCCTGAGTCTGAGTACTCTAAGGTCGACCACGGCGGTGCAGTGGAAATAGTGGCCAGCGACCTCCCAGTCAGTGTACTGGGTCATCAACTCAGGTTTCCCTGGTGCCAAGAAGGAGATGGAGGCATGGCCAGTGGCAGGGATGGCAGTCATGGGACCCCATGTTGTGGTCGGTGCCGCCTCAGGCCCGCGTCGGTACTGACACCAGTGCTGGTGCCAGTGCACAGGATGGGGCAGAGGCTATGGCCAGTGCCAAGGCTGGAGGCAGAGCCACACCTAGGACTGGGGTCATGGCTACCAGCACCAGGGCAGGGTGGTGGAGCCCTCTTGCTTTCAGGGCCAAGATGCTAGGTGCTGAAGCTACGGGGTGCTGCTACCTGGATCCTTTGACCAGGTACGGTGCCAAGGTCAGGGATGAGGTCTGCTCAATCAAGTCTCTTGCTGCCTCAAAGGTATCCAGAGTGGAGGGCTCTGGGAAGATTTATGCCAGGCTGGCATCTCTGCGTGGACTAGAGTGGTGCCCTTCTGAGGAGACCGAAGGGGGATATGATAGAGGTATATAAAATCATGAGTGGTGAGGAGAGGGCCAATAAAGAAAAGTTATTTATTAGTTCCCTAAATAGAAGAACTAGGGGACACCAAATGAAATTAATGGGGAGCAGGTTTAAAACTAATAAAAGAAAGTTCTTCACACAGCGTGTCGTCAACCTGTGGAACTCCTTGCCAGAGGAGGCTGTGAAGGCTAGGACTATAATAGAGTTTAAAGAGAAGCTAGATAATTTCATGGCAGTTAGGTCCATAAAAGGCTATTAGCCAGGGGATAAAATGGTGTCCTTGGCCTCTGTCTGTCAGAGGCTGGAGAGAGATGGCAGGAGACAAATTGCTTGATCATTGTCTTCGGTCCACCCTCTCTGGGGCACCTGGTGCTGGCCACTGTCAGCAGACAGGATACTGGGCTGGAAGGACCTTTGGTCTGACCCAGTACGGCTGTTCTTAGGATCTCCATGGTTTGGCTGCCATGCCGTAGTGTGCCCTCAAGTGGGGCATGCGGAACGGAGGCACAAGCCTTGAGGGAGACCTGTCTCTGCTAGGTCTCTTCTTCTGGGGCCCTGGGGACTGCGTACCACCATGGTACCAGTCGCGAGGGGCTGGGTGCCTATCGCACCAAAGCCGGTGCACTCTGGGTTGCCAGTGTCAGATTAGACATCAGTGCCGGGCCTAAGGCCACCTCCATCAGAATAATCTTCAAGTGAGACTCCCTTTCACGCTTGGTACATGACTTAAAGGCCTTGCAGATCTTACAGGCCTTGGACAAGTGGGCCTCTCCGAGGCACTTAAAGCAGGGTGAATGAGGGCCCCACAGGGCATAGGCTTCTGGAACTTCTTGCAGGGCTTGAAGCCTTGGGGCCCAGGCATACCCCACCAGATGCACCAGACACGCAAAGCAAGCCCCTGCACCTGGGTGCTTAAGTGTTGCATTTAGTGTTAACAGCTACTAAAAACCTAAATGAGAACAACTAAACTAAACTTTAACTACTAAAACAATGAGAAGAACTGCTAAAAGGCACTTGCAGAGCAAGGAGGCAAAGGCACATTCCAACTACCCTCAGGAGTGGTAAGAAGGAACCGAGGGGGTGGAGAGCCAGCAGGGGTATATATTAGCTGATATACTGGTGCCATTCCAGGGGGCTCCCCGCTGGCCCAATGGGTATTGCTAAGGGAAAAAACTTCTGACCATGTGTGCACACAGCACTTGCACACCTACATGGAATGGACAGGAGCAATCACTTGAAGAAATGCTTTCTATTGGCAAGACTTCCAGTTCCTCTTGTACACCAAACCTATTGACGAAAACTGCCTCCACACAAATAAAGGTTATCCAAGGATTTGTTTGTGCCCACTGAACAAAAATGCAAGCTTCTTTCTAGTTCCTAAAAAGGGGAATTCAAAAGAGCTCCTACATAGTGAGTGCATGGGATTCTCAAATTGTTTTTAATCTGGTAGTTGTCAATTCTTAATTTGACATTTCCCTGTTTAGGCCTGTATTGATGCTTTGAAGCCTTGCAAGTTGCAAATATGCAATCAAAACTGGACTAGTCAACTCTTCTCCTTCCTGCTAGTTTGTAAGGGCTTTTCTGTGCTGCAAACAGAAGCGAGCAGTTTTGATCAAATAAGCTCCTTGCCCAATAGTGTAAACTACAAATTACTACTTTGCAGGATTAGTAGAACCCAGTTTCTTCCTACTCAAATCTAGCCAGATACGCACATCCATGCCATTACACGAAATATTTCTTGTTGCTTCTCTATCTAGGAGGAAGGCAATGAAAGCCTTATCCCAATAGGAAAAAATGGTTAGATAAACTAATCCACCTTTAGAACCAGACCCATATCTAGTTTTGTTGTCCCCAGTATAAAAAAAATGAAGTATGGTGTTTTTTTGTAGTGGTAGATTACATTTGTCGATTTCTTTGTTCCAATGAAAGAATAGTCAACCATAAATCAAAGATGTGGAAAAGTCAACCTAATACTCTGTTGACGTTTCTGATCGAGTACGAAGTATACACTCTTAATGGAAGTTGAAAGAAAAAAAGCCCTCATCTTTTGATGCTATAAGCAGGCACAGTCCAGTCAGCCATACATTTTTGAATGGCCTGTAAAACTGGTCTAACCAGTTGCTTGCAGATGCATCAACAATTAAGTCAAAGGCTGCCATTGGCCATCTCCCATATTCTGAACCTGTTTTAGGTCAATTGAAGGTTTTTAACAATTAAAGTCACAAGCTAGGTCACATGAAGACCAACGGACTCATTTTAAAACCCACCCTAGATCAGTGCTTTTTACCTGAAGTAGCTCATCTCGGGATATCTTGTCATCTTTATCCAGGTCATATAGTCGAAAAGCAACTAGAGGGAAAGTGAGAATAAGTCAGATGAATTCAAGTACTATTTCTTCATCTCTCACCCACATACAGAAACTAATTTTAGGCAGTCAAATACAGTGGTCTCAAAGCTGGCAGCAATGTAGTGTTGGGTCATTTTGTATTGACTACTGATGTAAATATTAGACTAAACCATTTATATTGTTCTGTTAAAATGTTTTGATTGCTCGTAATTAACCTCGTAATTAAATACTAAAATATCATTTAGGCTTTTTCTATATTTTCAAATATATTGATTTCAATTACAGCACAGAATACAAAGTGTGTCATGTTCGCTTGTTTTTACAGTGAAAATTTTTATAGTAAAAAAAACTTTCAAGTTCTCCCAATACAAGTACTGTAGTAAAATATCATGACGATTGTACTTAATGTAGAATTATGTACAAAAATGCACTCAAAAGTAAAAATGAAAAACTTTAGCGCCTACAAGTTCACTCAGTCCTGCTTCTTGTTCAACCAGTTGCTCCAAAATAAGTTTTAGATTTGCAGGAGATGTTGCCCGCTTCTTATTTAAGAGGTCACCTTTAAGAGGTCACCTGAAAGAGTAAGTAGGCATTTGTATGACTGTTGTAGCTGGCATCAATATATTTACATGCCTAGGGCTTGACAAATAATAATACAATCTACTCGCCTGTGGCGAGTAGATTGTAACCAGAAGAGCCAGGTTCTGGCAATCTGCGTATGCCCTTACATGCTAGATACTCTAATGATTCATATGTCCCTCTTCAAGCTTTAACCACCATTCCAGAGGACCTATATCCATGCTGATGACTGGTTTTGCTCAAAAATCGAAAGCAGTGTGGTCCAACACATGTTCATTTTCATCATGAGTCAGATGCCGCCAGCAGAAGGTGCATTTTTTTTTGGTGACTCAGATTCTCTGCTTCTGACATCGAAGTGTTGCTCTTTTAAGGCTTCTGAAAGCATGCGCCAGACCTCATCCCCCTCAGATTTTAGGAGACCCTTCAAAATGTTAAGCCTTGAGTTGAGTGTAGCTATTTTAGAAATTTCAGTGGTACCTTCTTTGCATTTTGTAAAATCTGCAGCGAAGAGGTTCTTAAAAGGAAGAATACATGCTGGGTCATCATCCATGAAATATATGACAGACTGTGGGTAAAACAGCAGGAGACAGAAAACTCTCCCAAAAGGAATTCAGTTAGTTTAAAACAAATTAAATGTATCAGCTTAGAAGCATGTCTCTTGGAATGGTGGCCAAAGCATGAAGGGGCATACAAGAAAATCAACATCTGTAAATTGCACTTTCATAAAGATTGCACTACAGGTAGGGAGATTGACAAGATATTATTTTCTCACTTTTACAGTGAAAATATTGCAATAAAATTATAAAAAAGTGAGCAACATACTTTTATTCTGTTTTGTAATTGAAATCCATGTTCGAAAATGTATAAAGCCCCTATCCAAAAATATTCAATAAATTTCAATTGGTACTCTGATTAAAGCTGCTATTAATTGCAACTAATTTTCTCATCACAATTGAGTTAATCATGTAGATTAACTGCAATTAATCAACATCTAACAATTATATAATTCAGAGTTCCTGCATAGCACAAGTCTATTCCTGTAATTTACTAGTATCTTGATATTCATCATTCTCGTCAGAGGATTGCACATTGTCCAGAGACACCCACTCCGAAATTGCCTTTCAAGATCAAACCAGTAGTCCATCTAGTTGAGTACCCAGTGTGACAGTGCTCAGTCCTGGATTTACAGAAAGACAAAAAGCTCTGTAATGGACAATTCTATAAACAGGCTGCTTCCAGAGGAAATTTCTTTCTAACCCTAAAACATGAGTGTTTAGCAATCCCTTCTACATTTAATTAATTTAATCTTCTGTGAACTGTCACTTCTGACTAGCCTACACTTTGCCTGAAGTATATGGCCAAATCAGGGCCTAGAATGCTCATCAGAAGACTGCTGTAGATTTAGTACACAAGAATAATCCACTTCCCACTCTGACCTCATGCTTCAAGCAGAGTAAGGATCAATCATAAGGGGGACAATGGGATAGAGGTGTGAAGTGAGCAGCTATACTATATCACATGAAGGACTTCAGAAATGACAAGTGGTTTGAGGATGGGAATGGGAAGGCCCATTCATGGCTGGAACACTATTTCCAGAGAGCATCTCAGGTCTGCTCTGACACTACAGGACGCTTTAGAGACACATTTAGGAAAGTTTAAATTAGCCCAGCATAACCAAGTCTCCAGAAACAAAAGACAGAACTATGTAGCACTTTAAAGGCTAACAAGATGGTTTATTAGGTGATGAGCTTTCATGGGCCAGACCCGCTTCCTCAGATCAAATTGTGGAAGAAAATTGGCACAATCATTATACCAAAGTGATACAATCAAAAAAATGAATGCATGTGAAACTGACAAATCAAATTTTAGAACAGAGTGGGGGTGAGGAGGGAATGTTAGTGTCTGTGAGGTAATGACATTAGGGGGTGATAATTGGGGAAGCTGTCTTTGTAATGGGTGAGATAGAGTCTTTGGTTAGACCCATACATAAAGTGTCAAATTTAAGCATGAATGACAATTCTGAAGCTTCTCATTGAAGTCTGGAGTTAGTCTCTTTGAAGCAATATGCATATTTTAAGGTCATTGAGGGAATAGTCAGTCTGGCTGAAATGGCAAGCAACAGCTTTCTCTGAGAGTCTTGTGTCTGTTTTGTGTGCATTGATTCTTTGGTGAAGTGTTGGGGACGTTTGTCCAATGTACATAGCAGACGGACACTTTAGGCACATCATGCCATAAATTATATTTCTGGATGAACAGGAATATGTGTTCTTGATCTTGTAATAGGCATGGTTAGGTCCAATAATGGTGTTAGAGTAAATTTTACAGTAGATAGTCAGTGCTTTTCCGGAAATTCAAGGGGCCAGTGTAGACAGCTGGCAAGTTATTTCGGAAAAGCGGCTGCTTTTCCAGAATAAGTGGCCAGTGTAGACACAGCCAAACAGTATCTGTGAATAGGGACACTTAGAACAATCTGTGTGTGGAAGACTAAAGAGGAGATCAAGAAATGGAACAGCAGAGTGTGAAGTTCCTTACAGTGCAGCTTGTTACTCCGGCTGTTGAGTGGTTCTGGTCCATTCTGGTCTTTGCTCTTTTCATTATCTTCAATGGGTCGGAAGTGGGCCAAAGTCCTCATGAATCCACGGAAATTCACCTGGTCCTCTCTGCATAATATTACAAGGTTAGTTGTCTAAAATTTAGCATAATACATGTTGTCTATCGCAGTTGTAAACACAAGTTTATGACCAAACAAGTCTCAATGACATTTCTGTAGAGGAAGGTTGAGTTCTTTAGTGTTTTATTTACATCCATCCAGCAACCCTTAACCCCGCTGGTCTCCTTCAGTAGTGAGACCACAAGGAATTTCCTTGTAGTTTTCCCATGAATGGCAAATGTTTTTAAGGTTGGCAGCAGAATTATTAGTAGACATGTAATGTAGAGAGGACATGTGGTCTGGAATAGTGAAAAGAATTAAGATTTAAGGTGATGGAGAAGCCAGTTACTCATACCCATTTTATAAAATTAGGTATGCTCCCCCCAAAAGTGATGTAGGGAGTTTAAGGTTTCTAAAACATTTTGAAAATTCTTTGATGAAGCACAAAATGGTAACCAAGTTCAGAAATTAACACTAAGACCTGTGGAACCAGAGTCTGAAAAATCAGACACTGGTTCTTTGAAAATAACTAGCTTTGGGTGTCAAATTTGACACCTTAAAAAGGCTAAATTCATGAAGTAAGAGCTCACCTTCTCAAAATCTTGTCCCCTTTAAGGTCCCTTAAGATGGCAAGCTCAGAAGTTCAGGAACCCAAAAATATTTGACGTCTTGGCCACAGCCTTTTACAGCATAGGAAACCACACTACCTATGAACCACCTCTTCTCAGGTCTTTTTTTATCCAGCAAAAGGGGAAGAAAGTCATAAGTCTGGCTTGCTTTTCCATTACTGGATCAATGTTGATGGACTGGAGAACAGTGGAGACCAGATAATTTGGACCAAAACAGGCATCCCAGGTGCATAAGTCAGTTTGGTTGGAGAAAGATAGAACACAGAAGGATGCAAAGGTGCCTTGAACAAAGTGAAGAGGGTAAAGCGACAGATGAAATGCAGTTTATGCCAGACGTTACTGAACTGGATGCTGAGAATCCAATGAAGCAACCACAACCTGTGCAGAATGTAGTAAGAGTGACAGGCAAGAAAGATTTTTCAGATTTTTGGACTGATCAGCTGGGTGTGGGTGGGGAAGGAGCACATCCATGAGCCAAAAGAAAATTATAAAAGTCAAGGTAAAAAGTCAGAGGGTGTGGACATGCATCTTGGCATTGGCAATAGGAACAGATAATTTTAGAGTTGTGAAACAGTTTGAGGGGCAGAAAAAGAATAGTCTTGTTTTAGTGATATTTAGAGTTTTAGCTGGTGGTAGGGAATCCAAGATGTCTGATGGAAGCTTCGGGAATAAGTACTGAGGTGGCAGCAGAAAACATCTAGCATGTTGACATTATCTACTGAAAGAAGGCCAAGGACAACAATAGGAACAGATAATTTTAGAGTTGTGAAACAGTTTGAGGGGCAGAAAAAGAATAGTCTTGTTTTAGTGATATTTAGAGTTTTAGCTGGTGGTAGGGAATCCAAGATGTCTGATGGAAGCTTCGGGAATAAGTACTGAGGTGGCAGCAGAAAACATCTAGCATGTTGACATTATCTACTGAAAGAAGGCCAAGGACAACCACCTACAGATAAAGAAACTGAAGAATGCAGAGTAAGGCAGTTTATACTTGAATGTCACCTTTCATTGAAATTTATGATCCTAGGAGGAGGTAAAGTGGTTTAAACAAAGGGCAAAGGTGGAGAACCAGACAATTAGGAAGTAGAGCTGATTGATCAGAATCGTAGAAGATTAGGTTTGGAAGAGACCGCAGGAGATCATTTAGTTCAAGCCCTCTGCTCAAAGCAGGGCCAACACCGACTAAATCAGGGTTTTGTCAAGCCTTGCTTTAAAAACCTTCAAGGATGGAGATTTCACTACTTCCCTAGGCAACCCATTCCAGTGCTTCACCACCCTCCAAGTGAATTATTTCCTAATATCCAAACTCCCCCACTGCAACTGGAGACCATGGCTTCTTGTTCTGTTGTCTGCCGCCACTGACAAGCTGGCTCCCATCCTCTTTGGAATCCCTCTTCAGATAATTAGAGGCTGCTAACAAATCCCCTCCCCTCATTCTTCTCATCTGAAGACTGAATAGCCCAGTTCCTTCAGCCTCTGCTGATAAGAGATTGTACTATTAGAAGAGAGTTTGTAGCTGATAAGTCTGGCTTCTGAACTCAGGATTGTCATCATTTTGGTCCCAGGAAATGACAGTAAGAGGTAATAGCTTTCATTCTGTTGGTGACACGCTTTCAAACTTACATTTGGTAGACTTAAAAAATTCTGTGTATCAATCATAACATGAAAAATTCTTTCAGTATCTAACATTTCAAGGCTCCTGGACTTGCCTGCTGTCATGTTACTGAATGTTTCTGTTGAATGGCAACCAGAACGGAGTACTGATTAAAGATAACACTCTGGCAAGACAGGCAAGGGAAACAGTAGAAAAGAGGTTAAGTTCAAAGGTCTCAAAGCAAATACTTGACTAGACTGAAGTCAGAATCCAAGTATCCAATTCGTATTTCCATGCTTTAGTCAAACATATCCTGATTAGGACTTTACAATGTTGGTCACAAAAAAGTTGCAGATCATTTGGAAATGCTCTCAACAGAACTTACCCCTCTGGGAAAAAGGCATTGATAATCCGATCTCCCAGAGGGTTGATGGCAAGCTCTGGAATTCGCTGAAAGTCTTCACGGCTAAGGGAAACAAGAATATCAGAGTGTTAATAAATTTAGCTGTGGTGAAAGTTGCATCAAGACTGAATAAAGTCTAATGAGATGCTCTACGATACAACATACCCATTTGAGTTTTACTTCTTCAGCAAAGTACTTTGCTTGCTTTCCAACCATAATCATGCAATAGCTGTTAAAAGTTTATTATGGCACAAGATAAGGAGAGTCCTGCAGAGCCTGTATTACATTTCATGCATATAATTGTACTCATTTATCAAGTTAATGCTATTTCTCAGTTTCAGCAAATACCTCTGTGTAAGCAAATCTGCCAGACTTTAGTTATTCCTCTAGAATGATTTGGGCAAGGTGGGAACTACTGTATAAGAAAGCTACACAACGAAGGGAAAGTAACAACTAAAGTAAATTGTGTTTAGCAACAATCACTTGAGCTGAAAAACTTTAGATTAGTCCACTTGGAGCAATGCATCTCAGCCCTGAGATCCCCAAAAGCTATCAATTTTCATGTTTTAAATTTTAATTTCTCTATATGGACTCTGTTGTATGGGCAAGATCTTTCCATAATATAGAAGTTAAGTCAAGCTTGTTTCTGTATCAATCAGGATATTTTCCTACTTAAGAGTAGCCATTTTCTATAGGGGGCCATAAAACAAAAACCATGTGCAGCTTAAAAACTAAACTGGTAGACAAAGTTACATTATTATAAAAGAGTGTTTGTACTTATAGCTTAATCAAATTAAGAACGCAAAACAATAAGACACCTTTTTAGTTATATTGCTGCCTAACCAAAAGTGCCCCTAGTGGAACTGTCAGTAATTGATACAAGATTCCATATTCATGCCTGTAGCTAGAAAGATGAGTGTTGAAGCCAATATGGACTAAAATGCCATAATTTCAACCTCTCTTGTTGGTTGCACAATTTGTTAATTTGTGCCAGATAAGCATGTTAAGCAGTTATTCGCTAATTGTGTATCGACTAATTGATACCATTATCGACTACATGATTAGTCCATAACAGCTGCACTGCAGAGCTGCAGTGAAGGGGTAGCTCCTGGAGCCAGCTCGAGCGAGGACTGAGATGTAGTTAGAGCCAATTGGCACTCTCACTACATTTAAAATGCAGAGCCACAGTGTGAGTGGCTCTAAGAGCTGGCATGAGCTGGGACTGAGCAGTCCCGGCTCACACTGGCTCTGAATCACTGTGGCTCTGCACAGTAAGTGTAATAAGAGCCCAGTGGTTCTAACTACATTTAAAATGCAGAGCCAGAGTGATCCAGAGCCAGCATAAACCAGGACTGCTCAGTCCTGGCTGAGGCCAGGAC